AATATTATGCTACTGGATAATATTGACTAGACTCTTCAGGATCTATATTAACTGATTCTACAAGATCAGCTATGTTGTCTCATTAAATGACTTACTAAGAAAATTCAGTGCGACAAAACCTAGTCAAGGGAAAAAGAGTACAACGTGTATAATGCTCCCCTCAAACTAATTTATCTCCTTTAGCGTGCAGAGTCCAATCTTCTTTATGAGTTGCTCAAAACTATGTCTAGGCAGAAATTTGGTGAATAAGTTTACCAAATTTGTGCTTGATTTAACTTGAAGAACATTGATATCTTCTTCTTTCGGCATGTCGTATGTTGAGAAAAACTTTGGTGAGATGTGCTTCGTTCTGTCTCCCTTGATGTAGTCTTCCTTGATCTGAGTTATGCATGATGCGTTGTCTTCACATATAATTGTAGGATTCTTCTTAATTTCTTCCAAATCGCATGCTTCTTGTATATGATCAAACATTGATCTCAACCATACGCACTCTCAGCCAGCTTCATAAAGCGCTACCAATTCAGCTTGATTTCATGATGTTGCTGTTAGAGTTTGCTTTGTTGACTTCGATGTACCGCCGTATGTGAGCACGTAACCTGTTTGAGAATGCGCATTGTGTGGATCTGATAGATACCCAGCATTAGCATACCCTATATAAGTTGGGGCTTTCCATTTTTCTGGTAGAAGAGACTAAGTCTTGTGTCCCACAAATATATCAGAATATTTGTTTTATCCCATTCCAATGTCTACGTGTTGGGTTTGAATTGGGTCTTGCTAATAAATGTACTGAGAATGCAATATCACGTCTTGCTAATAATGTTCATGATGCTTCGTTTATACTTATCTTTCCAAGGATAATTATATTTTTAGTATTCTACCATGTTGATGGAAAAAATTGAGGGCTAAAAGTATAATTTCACATCGACACTAGGTCAAACCATGTATTATGATGTCAATTTGACGGAAAATATAACAAGAATCACAATGAGTACAATTATGAATTCAGATTCCAATTAACAACAACTGTGGACTATGGTTGTGGGAGCAACTATAGTGAACAAACGACACATCAACAACGAGTTCTCACATTGGTAATGACAAGAAAGATATAGTAAAAAAAATTTATCCATAAAAATATACGCATAAAATGAAGACTAAATATGAAAATCCCCATATTTTAAAGAACTAATTATAGACAACTCAATTGGATCCTACAAAAAAATTAATTATAAAACTTATTCAAAATTACGAGACCCTACTGTAGTGGGATTCAACTGGGATGTGTTGTTATTCAAAATTACAATATGAAAAAAAAGTTAGAGTAGAGAAAGATGAGTAAAAATGTTGGAGAGGAAATTCATAAAGGTTTGGGATAGAAAGATTGGTTTAAATAGAAAAGGAAATGCATTTTTTTAATTTAGTTGACAAAACAGTCAAAATATCAAAAACAAAAATTTAAAAAAAACATCTATTGCACGCGGTCGGCTTAGTCAACATGGGGATCACGTCCCCGAATACCAAATAAGGGACGATGTTCGTGACAACATCGAGTGACGCATATCACACCGATGCCCTACTCGTTCCCCACACCAATTGGCCTAAGGGACAATCCAAAAAGAAAAATAGAAAGATTATAAGGGGCAGAAGTATTGTTACTATAAACATCATCCAATTGAAATGATACAAATATACTCTTATACTATGTTTGGTTCAAGGAATTTTGAAGGAAAAGAAAAGAAAATAATTTTTTCTTACTTTCTTCACCAAAATGGGAAGAATTTGATTTTCTTCCTCTTAGTAATATTTGTCTTTCCATTTACTTTTCTTTCTGCTTTTCTTTACTTTTTCTCTCTAACTAAACAAAAAAATAATTTTCCATCTCATTTTCTTCTCTTTTCTCTTTCAAATTCCACAAACCAAATATAGTATAAAGGCCCGCATGGTGAGATTTAGAAGGTTGATATGAATTCTAAACTTTGGGAAAAATTATACACCTATCTCAAATTAAATTGTCGATTTATTATTCACAAACTTAAGCTTCATTTACTTTTTTTAATCTATTTTTGTGACTCATTTAATATAATAATATAGTCATATTACGGAGTATTTCTTAGAACAATGTTGTCAAGTACTTGACGGAATTGAAATTGGATTAAAGCTAAAATTCTATAGACTTGGATTAGATTGAATTGAATTTTCCAATTCCTATTCATTTTTTGTATTATCAATTCCAAATCCACATATTTTGTGCTACCAAACAACGGTTAGAATTGAAGTCTCCAATTTCAATTCCATGGCTTGAATTCCGTATACCAAACAGAGCCACAATCATTTCCTCAATAAGGATTGATAGCTTCAATCCCAAGGACACCATACCCATTTGGTATGAGATGATGAAGAAAGTCATGTTACCCATAATAATAATAACAGCAAAATTAGCAGAAACATTTTGCTTAATTAAAGTGGACCAAACACAAAACAAGATCTTTGGCACTTGTCACTCAACTCGCTACCGAAGGGCACGCGTGACCAATTGATACTGATTCCAGATCTTCAGTACTCACAGGTCGATGAAGCTGCAATTGCAAATAGTGTTCAATACAGATAAGAAGAAACATACAATGAACTTTTCATAAGCATCTAACTGTGTAGTATCTTGTTTTTAAGGCTTATCAGCCGGAGTTTCTACCAAGCACATATCACTATCTTATTTGATAGCATTACGTGAAAAGGCTAATAAAAAGAGATCAATTTCTTTTTTGGCTGAAATAAAGATAAAATAATACATCTACTATCATATTTACAATCTTACAGAGTATTTAAATTAAAGGAACAACAATAACAAACTCAATAGAATCCCTCAAGACAGTAGAGTTTGAGAAGGGTGTGTGGGAAGATCTGATTTAAATTTAAGGAAACTGGACCAAAATATCACCAAGTATGGACGATTTGACAAAACCGCTACGAATTACGAAATTGAACAAAATATAACCGACTATCACCTCTATATTGCAATAACAATATACATGTCACCGGAGAATATGAGAATCTATATAAGTACTCTCTCATTAAAACACATTGTGAATTTGAGATCATTGAATCCTGAATTTTTTTGGTACAACAGAGATAAATTGAATCCTGATTTCAGATTAAAATGTTTTCATGTACTTGTAAATATTACTCCCTTCGTCCAAAAATTATCTTCTCATTCACTATTCACATAGTCAAACTTTATTCACTTTATTTATCTATTCACGTGATTACGTGTGGTGCTTGAGCCGGGGTCTCTTTTGGAACAGTCTCTCTACTTTCAAGTAGGGGTAAGTTCTGCATACACACACCCTTCCCAGCCCTTACTTTTGTGAGATTCAACAGGGTTGTATATTAATTTGAACCCTAGTATTCTGACATACACTGATGACATATATATTGTTTTTGGCCAACAGAGATGATAGTTGGTTATATTTTGGTCAATTTCATGGTTTGTAGTGTTTTTGACCAACAGCCCATACTTGGTTGTACTGTCCATTGTCCAATTTCACTTGAATCTATTTTAAGAAAGTAAGGAAAATATAATTCGGCTACAATATCAATCAAGTCAGCACTTTCAGTTATTTCAGCAATTCAACCAAACCAATCTGTTCTTACTTCTTAGTGGATGTCATAATGGCTGTTATTCTGAGGGGAGTTCCAAGTGGAATCCTTTTTGAGAAGCGGGCACCAATAGACATGAAGAGGAAAGCAAGACACAAAAATAATGCACTCAGGATAATTCGTGTTCACTTAGAATAGATGAGAACTTACTGCTTTTGCAACATCAAACAAGTGAAAGGTACGCAGTAAAGCATCACTTTGTGAGGGAAGTGTATCGTGATTCCAATATGTTATCTTTTGGAGCTTTGCCTTCACCTCCCAGCAATGTGAGTTTTCCTGAGACATACTTCCTTTCCCATCAGCCTTTTTCTTTCCCAACACAAACCCTGAAGGCATAATACAAAGAAATGTTACTTTTTTGAAGAAAAAAAATGGTACAAATATGTTATGACTTCGAAAACAAACATTGCAAAGTGTAGCTCTACTACTGAGGTACAGCTCACACAACAATATCAACAACAACCAATTTGGATCCCACAAGAGTAGGGTCTAGGGATGGTGCGTGTCCCCAGACCTTACCTCTACTCGAAAGTAGAGAGGTTGTTTCCAAGGGACCCTGAGGTACAGCTCAATTCCCAAAAAAAATTAAAAATCTTCATCTCAGATGGAGGCTGAGGCTTATAAAGACAAATCATAGTCTGGGGCCTATGGGCACAGCACAGCCAGTTCAACTATAATGATATACATATTGTGGAAGATAACTCAAAACACATGAGCACACGCACCCATCACACATGTATACTAGAAAGAAAGAAAACATAACTTGCAAACCCGCACTGGAAGTAGCAAAATGTACTTCTTACATTCTGATTCTTGAAAAAAATTCAGGATTAACTATCAATGCACAAAGTTCAGATCGTGATTCTATTGTAATGACCCTACAATTCTAGCACATGAGGCACATTCTCTAGAAGGGTAGTTGAGGATTTGATCAACATGCTTCGGACAGGTAATCAGTATCTATGTATGTTAAAGAAGGCGTTTGATTTAATTGCATTGCCAGCTATTGGAAGACTGGTTTATTGACTATTGAGAGGGAGAGAGGAGGCAGTTTATTTGTGCAGTTATTATTAGGGAGTATAATGCTAACTCTTCAGTCTTCTTTATTCCTTAATTTTCATCACGTTTTGGCAAGGAAAAGTATTCGACACGATAGAAGAATATTTAATCTTTTGTATCTCATACTCTCCATTTTCTTATCATTCAGGCATCTAGTTTTTCTCCACCTTGCCTTGCTCTATTTCCCCTCTTATTTTCTCTCCCACTTTGTGTCTCAATGACTCAACGTATAGGCAACTTCAAGTATGGCCATCAACAACTCGTGGAACATGAGTATTCATTATAACAGAAGGACCAAACAAAAAATCCATAAAGAAGAAATCCAAAGCATGCATATTCTCGTCAACTAATAGAAACACTGAATAGTACACTATCACCGTGAGCAATAACCCAGTAGAATCCCACGAGAGTAGGGTTTGGGGAGGGTGTATGTACGCAGACCTCAAAGTACAAAAAGCAAAGAGTTTGTTTCTAAAAGAGACCCCCAGCTTGAGAAAATGCATAAAGCACAGAAAGCAAAGAGCACGACAAAATAAGCACCTAACAAACATAGGAAGAAGAAGGAAACACGATGAAAGTAAAAACACAGAGAAACAGAACACCATCACCATGAGCATAAAAAAAATATTGTTTTGACAATAGAAAGTATCTATTAAAAAGGCAATGAATAACTACAAAAGCACGAGCATCTAATTTGAAGTTAAAGAACAAATAGAATATTCAATGCAGCTACTTATGAACTACTCTTTTCCATCATCTCTGATGGAGCCAAAATTTCACCATTTTTTGGCTTTGGGGTGTGATGGAATAAATCAAAATGGATCTCTAAACTGTCTGCGCTTCTTTAATTAATGAAGTAGCAGTTAGTCAAGCAATGCAACTTTCGACGTTGAGCCGGGGGTCTCTTTGGAAACAGCCTCTCTACTTTCGAGTAGGGGCAAGGTCTGCGTACACACACCCTCCCCAGACCCTACTCTTGTGGGATTTAACTGGGTTGTTGTTGTTGTTGTTGTTACTTATGAACTACTCATACATTGTTAAATAAGCTAAGAAGTAGTATTTTCTACATTCCATTACGAATGACCTCTGATACAAATGTTGAAACTGAAGCGTTTAAGATTCGTCGATTATGCATATAATTTATGTAGTAAATCAATTAAGAGAAAACAACCAGAATAGCCTTGTGGTATGGGAAGCGTGGTTCCATTGAGCTTCCTTCCTCTGAAATGAGCTTCCTCTATGCTTAGACCATCAAATACCACCTCTTCTCGTCCATGTCAAAATCCGAAACAAAGAAACGCAATAGATTAATCATCGCAAATTTCGAAAATGTGTGCGGGCAATTTTGGGCGATGGATTCGTACCAGTAGGTTTGGGTCTGAAGTAGTGAGAGACGTCGGAGGATCCGTTGTACTTGATACAGCATGGCAGTTGATGTACAACGCCGGTCAGATCCACGGCAGGGCGACGATGGCCGGAGAAATCTACTGTGCCCGAAGCCCTTCCGTCTATTCTTCCCGCCATTTTGCTGGAACTAGAAGTTGATATGAGAGGTGAGACGCCCTAAAATAATATTTTTATTTCTTTTCTTTCTTTAACATCCAAAGAAATCTTCACTTTTGGAGTCTTCCAAGACATTGGGTACCGTTGATTGTGTGTTGCCATACAATACTTAATTGGCAATGTTTGATCCTATTTCAAACCCTTCCACTAAATTCTCAATCTCAACTTAGATTTGAACCCACCTCCAACCTTTTCAACTCATCTCCAAATTTTGTTGACTTTAGATCAAATATCAAAGTTAATGAAATTTTGAGATCAAATTGGAGGGGGTCTGAGAATTTATCCAGAATGTTAGGCCGTGTGGTGCACCCAGCTCGAAAGGTAAGGAGAACACCACATCCTCCCCCCCCCCCCATGCAGAAATAGGAAAAGTGGGTTCCCTTACCCATTTTTTCTGTTGGCCTTCAAGAGTCAATTTTTCAATTGTTTTTGTGAAACTAGCCGTTTGATCTTTAAAAAAATTTACTATTTAAAGTTTTTAAATACAACACTCCACTCATCTTTTTCACACACTTCACATACATTTCTTTGAATTCCAGTACTATTTTTGTTGAATATTTTTCACAATCCTGAACATCGTGGATTTATTTCGATCATCGGTGTCTTCCTCTAATTGTCCCTTTAATTTAGAGTTCTTTCCAAATACAACAATTTCAAGAATGTCAACAAAATCAGTGACATCAATCAGTGACGAATCCAAGAATTGAAGTAGAAACAGCAAGATTCTTATTTCAAATATTTATTGAATGTAAAACATTTTTTAAAAGGTAAGGTGAAATTTTATTTTATAAAAAATTATTTATATGTAATAAAATAAACTTTACTAAGAAAAATTAAACAAGAAATTTAAATTTAGCCAAATTAGATGTGGTCATATTAATTTTTGAAGGGGGCAGATATGCATAAAATTTACTTAAAAACTATTTTTAACCTTATTATAAAAAATTAGTTGGGCGCATTTGCCCCCTACTCCAAACAAGTGGATCCGCCACTCGCAGCAAGTTCAAAACATGTAGCGCCGAACCGTCCCAACCACTGGCACGTTGCTTCCGCAGGTGATTGCTCCCACACTAGACGTCCCTTTCGATATCGAAGACGATATTGATGAGGTTGTGCCCGACACAACCTTCAAAAAATTGAAAGGGAAGGGAGAATGTAAAGGGAGACCAAGCACGACTTGGAGTGCTCCAAAATCTAGACTATGACTGAGGAGGAAGCATTAGGTAAAGCTTGGTTAACATTTCCACCAACCTAATAAGAGGTGCATTTAATTTGAATTAACTTTTTTAGGTAAAATTATTATTTTTTCATTATATATTATTTTTTCTCAAATTTTTTTATCACTCTGAAACAGGTCTGGCACGAGAGGAACAAGAGGACCCGCCAGTTTTGGTGGCACCAGGTAGGCCCCGTAGACATGTTGGGCGCCCACAAAGATACAATGATTATGTTACGTCTTGATATTATTATTTCTTGTTTTGTAACATAGATTTTATTGGGAGAGCAGTATTATAAGCTCATTCAAGGGTTTTTTTCGATTCTTTACCTCAATGCTTTTCTTGAACCGACAGGGTTAGAATATAATACAAAATTAGTTTATATATAGAGGTGTACCCGTATCAATTTTATTATGAATACAATACAAAATTAGTTTAATCCCCTCTTCTTGTATTCGCTGAAACCCTAACTGCGTCAACCTAACGTTGGCTGCGCCAGGGTAGTACCTCCTCTGTATCATCTGGTGCTTTCATTGTCGTTCTCATACAAAGAGAACAAGTTCTGAGAGTTATTGCTGATTAGTTCATTCGAATCATACAAAGAGAACAAGTTCTAAATGCATTCCATTTGCACTCGATGAGAAATTCTAAAATCCAATCAAATGTTAGGAAACAGCAAGATTTAGCAGTCTTCACTATAAGCTCCCTTGGAGTGGTCAAAGCTTTGAAGGACACGTAGGCGGCAAGTTTAGAGGACGGAGACATCAAAACTCGAAGATGAACAATAACGTGGAGGAGAAAAGACATACCTCATAGTTGGTGGTGATAAAAATATACAAAACTTATTTCCTGTTTTGATAAAGACTACCAAAGTTTTGAACAAGTGTTTAGAAGTGACAGAAAAATTTTATTTTATCAAATAACCAATGAAAACATACAAACAAATAAAAGTTATCGATAGACGATACACGAGCATCCATTTTGGGACGGAGGGAGTATACAAATAGAACTAATTTGCAATACTTCACCTAAAAGAGTCCATAGCACCTTGCTACTCAATTCTGACTAGTTTTGGGAATATGTTGAAAAAAGAAAAAAGACAAATCACCAGAATTTAAAAAAATAAAATCAAATGCTACAGTAGTCTTTCATTAGTAGTCCTCGTACTAATGTAGAGTAGAATTTAGACTTACAAGTTACAAATAGAAATTACAACAGTAGGAAGCAGGAGAGTGTGAGCCCCAGCTAGCAACACGTCAGTTTTCGTCGGTTGCAGCAGAATAGGAGGCATCAGCCACAGACGTGTCCATGTCATTAAGCCCTAACTCTTCGTTCTGCTCCCATGATCTCTCACATTCATCAACTGCAATATATACCCAGTTACCAAAACAGCTGATGAAGTACTTAGGTTTGCATTGAAGAAGAGCAATAGAGAAAAATGGTGACTTTTCATTCAAAACATTATTATATGGAGGGAACAGTCCTCCAAAACATGAGTAAAATGTCCTATGTGGCATAATAGGAAATTTGGATTCTTCATCCGTGATGTATTGAGAAAAGCCCCGTCAATTTCCTAGAAATCTAACGGCACCCCATGAGATTTCCATGTGTGTGAAGAGTGAAAACGGTTCTCTCCATAGAAAACTTTACTTCCCTTCCATGCTAGTCTTTATCAAAACGAAGTGAGATTTGGATGTAACTTCAAAATAACTGAAGTTTTTTGAAATTGTTATTGTTCAAGTTGATGAACTTGCTGAGTTATCAAGAAAAAAAGTCAATCTTTTTAATACATTGAAGAAATAATATCTAAAAATGATAAGAGTAAATTTCACCCATATCAGCAATCTGGACAACAGAGGGAAATACGTTGGGATTTTAAGAATAAGAAAAAAACTCTATGGCACTACCACATAAGAATATTGAGATGTTCAACATCCGCTATGCATGAAAGATATACATGGAGAATACTTACATTTTAATTGCTTGTCATCTTTCATGTCATCAGTAACAGGGGCCACAAATGAATTTGCCAGTGCATCATCAATAATCAAAGTCCAATGTCTTTCCAAGCTCAAAAGCTGAAGTATTATTAATCAAAGCATTAGTTCCAACTAACTTTTATGATATGTCAACAAAGGTAACTAGAGGTAGGCAGTTTGAGGTGGATGTATGGAGTTAATATTTCATGCCAAATTCTTTGGCTAGTTATGTGATGAAAAAGGTGGGGATATGTATAAATGCTATTTGTAAGTTGACCATGAGATAGACTAATGTCAGTGATTAAGTGATAGTATTATAGGTTTGGAGGGGCTGAAGGGTTTCCTCCCTTACTTGGGCTCTAATTCAGAGGTAAACTAAATTAGTTGGAGGTAATGACTACCTTACATCATCTCAAAGTAATTCCTAAGTTTCTTTTTCCAAACAAGATCAACCGACGTAAAATGTGAAAGTTACCGTCGCCTCCCTCTAGTTACCTCTTCTGAAACAGTATTAAAAAGGTCGGCCCTTGACATACAGACTAAGGGAGTAACTACAATAACATTCACCTTGCTAAGTCTTTCTCTGAAATCCAGCCACTTGCTTTTCCTGTCATCGTCAAGACTATCTCCAAATGTGAATCCATGAACCCTTTCTAGACCTGCAGTTTCATGCAAAGATTACTCTTTCTTTTTCCTCAAAGATACAGTCTAGAGCGGGAATGAGAAGGAAGAAGGAAGTGCATAAGAAGACACTCACTTTCACTAATTTTTGTGACTAAACCTTCAACAGTTGTTACAACACCACCCAGAGTGCCACTAGCAAGCTCCAAGTCAAGCTCTGGTATGCTCACCCCAGCACTATCTGACTGATAAAAGGCGCCAGATTTTCAAAATATAACTGAGTAAAATAGCAAACAATAAAAAGGGATCAAACATATATGAGCAGAAGTTTAACCTTTATCACATCTCTGCTTAAATCTTTGACATTTTCCACCTGAAGGGTGATCTTCTTTCCTTTATCAGAGATGCTACCACCAGGTTTCAGCTGTGCAGATGAGCATAAGATTCAACCAAATGACGAAACAATTAAAGTCTTTCAAAAAAAATAAACGTATATCCGCAGTGCCAAAAAGATCACAATTGGCTTTTTCATAGACTTTAAGGAAATGTGAAATTTTGTGCACTTCTTTCCTTGAAAAGAATGAAAACTTCAACTTAGGAGGTTCCAAAAAAAAGTGAGAATTTAATATTGGGATGGAGGGAGTATATAGCATTCAACACAGATCTTGAAAATTCTTAAAATTTGATTACAAACCTCAGAATTACGGTATCCACAAGCATCACAAGAAGATGCCATTACAATCACTTCTCGAAAATATGGAATATCTATATGTGGTTAAGTTCACAAACTCATATCATATGCATAAACCAAATATAATATACTAAAATCGGCAATGCTAATGATTGATGGTGATGAAGAATACTACAATAATAGAGTATTTGGCAATATTTATAATAATTTTTCAGTGTCATCTCACACCAATTTATAAAATTGTGAAACTACAAAAACAAAAGCAAAATTGATTGTTAGGAGTGTCCCAAATGTAGTTATTGCACCTTAAGACCAATGTTCTAAAAAGTGCTAGGCATCTCCTAGGTGGTAGACTAAAGCCTAGTGCTAGGCATGCTTAGGCGGAGAATAATCAAGGCCAAGGCAGCGTGAGGCGTAGGCGGCTAAGGGAAACCTAGTGCCTTGGCAGAGTTATTTCAGTTACAAGTATTCATTAATACTAATTACTAAGTGTCCTACAATCAATTTAAGGATTGGGAAAGAGACCCTCTGAGTTCTCTTTCCTTTTACAATAGAAGCGTATCATATGTTGGGCATAATGAATCATTCATTTTTCTTTAGTTTTGAGGAGAGGGAGTGTACACTATGTGTATCGTTAGAAAGTGGATACTAGTAACAAACATTCGGCATTCACACTTTGCCGCACAAGCTCCACATGTTGTCGGAAACACCATCACCTGTCATCCAGAAAAGCCATATAAAAAATCAAAATAAAAATCTAATTCATGAAAAATCCAAGGAAAAAGTATACCTCCTCTGGTGAAGAATATCTGAATAACGCTTCAGCAATTTCAGCACTGTTACCCTGAGCAATGGCAGATCGTCCAGCTTGTGTTGCTCCAACTGTTCCATGTGCCTCATTTCCCAATTGATTGTTTGCCCTCTCATCAGTGTAGTCCTCTGCATGTGACGGATCAACGAGATACCCTAAAGCTTTCTGTTGGTCAGGAGTTCTCTCATAGAACTTAATGGTCAGCGAAGGGTCAGGAGATGGAGCAAACCTGTCTCAATTTACCCATCAAATGAAAAATTCAGAAGTTTATGCAACATAAGCTAAGTTAATTCAGATAATGAATCACCTCCTTATACTCCCTCGGTCCCACAAAAAGAGTCCTATTTCATAAATACTCTTAGGGCCTGTTCTTTAGGACTGTAAAAAAAGAGCTGGATGTTGGAAGAAACTGGAAAAAACTGGAAGAAACTGGAAGGAACTGGAAGAACTCGAAGGAACTGGAAGGAACTGGAAGAAACTGGAAAAAACTGGAAGGAACTAGAAGAAACTGGAAAAAACTGGAAGGAACTGTAAGAAACTGGAAAACCTAAAAAAAACTTTAAAAATATACAAAAAAATGTCTTATTCATATTAAAAAGTTGAAGAAAAAAATAATAAGTGTGAATCGTAAAAATAGTGAGATGAAAAAAATAATTTATAAACTACAGTTATGAATATAACAGTTGTAATAATAATAATAATAATAACAATAATAATAATAATAATAATCACATTGAAATATATCATTTTTAGAGTAATTGGTTGAGGAGTAGAAAGAATTTGAAGAAAATGAAAAAAGTTGGAAGAAACTGGAAGGAACTGGAAGAAACTGGAAGAACTGGAAGGAACTGGAAGAACGGGAAGAAACTGGATGGAACTGGAAGAAACTGGAAAAAACTGGAAGAAACTGGAAGGAACTGGAAGTTAAGAGTTCAAACCCTAAAGAACAGGCCCTTAGTAAAGTATATCTAGTGGATATCATCAAATATAACTATATTTTTAAGGTTGCTGGTTAACTAAAAATAACATATCTAACTTGATTGGCATACTTTTTTTAAATAACATTGGTTATAATGAAAATTAACCTATTCTCTTCAAATTGGAGTCCTTTTGTGAAAAAAATAAAATGGAGTCCTTTTGTGACAAAAATATGTTGATAAACACATTCTTTTATTGAGACAAGGGGAGAATACAACTGAAATTATTAACAAGTTGGCAACCAACAGGATTATAAAGAAGACCCTACAATCTACATAGTTATACAATTTAATTCAAATTTTGTTAATACTCCCTCCGGCCTCCGGCCTGAAATAAGGTTCCACAACTCACCTGGCACGGGTATTAATAAATGTAAATGTGTGGGTGAGTTTTGGGCAAAGGAGAAAAATTTTGTGAACTACACCATTCCTTCCTTAAAAGGAAAGATGAACCTTTTTCTGGGAAAAAAATGTGAAACGTATTCATGGGACAAAATGAGTATTAAACGCAAGCAACAAAAGGGGTACATAGAGCACCCACATGTTTCCAACACTCATAATTGTATTTGCTTGTTTCTTCCACTAGTAAATTTATCGGGATCCCCAATTTTTCAATTTGGATTTGAGCCCCATGCAAGTCAAAACAATTTTATATCTTAGGAAGAAAAAATTTAAAACGAATGCATCGGGATTTCCACTCCAATTTCTTATCAAACCTCCGTTTTTCAATTTTATGAGATGTGTTTTTATATATCCTTCAAGACCAAGCAAATATGCTTACTTTTGATGCTCACAAATGCTCTCCATCCCCAATCTTCACCATATCCCCTATTTTTTTGTCATTGATGACCAGGCATGTGTCTTAGACATACTTAGACTTCATTAAATATGCTACAAGATAAGTCTCTTACGGATTCTCAATGAAGCTGTTACCAGATGGATCATCAAGAATGAATGTAAAGGATGAATCTCCGGTAGCATATGCTCTTAATTTGACCAAGAACTGATCGATAGCTTCAGCTATCTTGGGATCAACTTTCTGCATGGATCAGTGGTTACAATATTTTTAAACTACAAAACAGAATGATGAATTTGAGAACAAACATGACTACAAACAAAAATGTCACCTTTCTTTCATCCTGAAGGGCTTCCAGCTCATCAGCAGCTCTAACCAATATCCCTTCTACCTAAAAATAGTGGAAGATCATTAAAACAAAGCAAACGCTGAATGTTAAGATAACCACTAGAGGATGATTTGTGGTGTGTGAGAACATAGAAGATACCGTAGACAATGATCCACGTTGAGCCTCTGTAGGGATCTCAAAATCCAGTTCAGGAATCTGTGTTGTAAACATTTAAGCGGTATAAGCAGGAAGCACTAATATAGTACTTCCTCCGTCCCAAAAAGAATTACTCTCTTCACTATTCTAAACTCATGGAAAGTTTTGTTTAAATACGTTTTGATTGATTATTTGATAAAATAAAATATTCTTTTCATCTCTTGTTTGTAGAACTTTTGACTTAGTTTTTAAACATGTAAGTTTTATTTTTAATTTCTATACAACAACAACATGTTGGGTCAATTTAGGGTGTTCTCATCCCAGACCCCTCCCACACACATGCGTCTGGAATGGGGATGAGCTTTCATCTCTCCGACAAAGGTTTCTCTGGGGGCCGAGTTGCAGCTTTCAACGTAACGAACTGATTGACGATGAAGTAATTAATTTCTTCGCGTCTGTCAAATCTCTAGGTAAAACTTTTATTCCATCACTTTATTTTTAATTTCTATATCAATCTTTAAATCAAATGAATTACAAAAAATTGAAATTTTGCTAGTATAAAACATTTTGGGACAGAGGGAGTATAAATTTGTGCATATAGAAACTGACTTCTGAACATAATGACAAATTCAGGCATGCTGAACAAATATGCATATATTATTAATCCCTAATAAGATCTCAAAGTAAAATGTGACAACTAACTAAACTATTTAATCTATATTAACATACAAATATTCCCACACACGCACACATAAAGAGCCAAGGCACCTTGATAGTAGCACTTTCAGACTTTACCACTGTTCGGTCAAGCATCTGCAATATGAGACCAACACAGTCAAGACATTAAATAACATACACTCTACAAATGATTAATTAATCATACTGAAAAACTGTTCAGGATTGATAAGGTTAATTATGTAGTTCACACATAACATTTCATGTACTATTTACACAAGGATTAGCTTAAGTTTTAATATTTGAGAGAGTGAAGATGAACCAGGAGCGTGTGCAAGGAGGAGATGGGAGTGGTTATTTGCCACCCTTAACACAAGGCTCTGCCTAGTATGTTGCTTGGCAGGGTTTCACATCACAAAAACAAGACTTCACCATTTGTTTAAAGTTAGTATTAGAATTAAATGTGTAGTCAGTACTGCAATTGTCAATACAAAGTAAGGCCATGTTCTCTTCAACATATTCTTATTACTTATTAATTTCTTTTTCTTATTGGAATCAGATCAAATCTTATTCAAATCAGATCAGAACCATTCACATCAGGTGAAGAGAACATGGCCAAAAAGTTACAAATATGTATATATAGATCCATCTTGAATGCAAACTTAATTAGTGAGCACTACTACTGTCAAGCCAGAATATCAGCCCATTAAATCTAGCTCGAGGAAAACAACCATGGAGTATAAATTTATGATACAACCTTTCGATCACCAGCACGAAAACTCAAGCTAAATGAACACCCACGGGGTTGAATCTCCCCAGCAAACTGCACTTCATTATTTCTTTAAAATGCAAACAAGACGTTATAAGAACCCATTTTGAAACAAATCTTCTGTCGTTTGCACACATTTTTTTTAATACCTTTCACAGCAATGGGGGCACTCAAATGCTGACAATAATATCTGCAAAGTGCACACAACAGAATCTGTAAAAACACATTAGAAAGACAATTTCGAGCCAAATTCAAGAGAAGAAAGAAAGCCCGCACCTTCCGAAAATGAGGAATTAAAGTAAGCAAGAACCTAGTTACACCCTAAGAACAACAAAGAAATTACAGAGTCAATAGCAGGCAAGAGACGCGGAAAATCTAAGCATAAAATTATTCATTTCAAGAAGCGTACATTCTCTCCGCAGCGCATACATAGACTCTCCACCTCGTACAGCGGAGTATCGATATCGGCGTCGTCGCCTGCGGCGGCCACAGCCTCCACCACCGACCGGACGTCGACGATTTGGTCTTTCGCCGGAGCCGTAGTTGAATTGTCCATTTGTCAAGTGTAGGAGATCCAGAGATGAAGCAGGCTCGTATTTGAGCGGCGGCGTTTACCACTTTCATTGTGAAACCTTCCCCGTTCTCTCTCGAAGAAACTCGATCATTTGAATTTTAGGACATACGTAAATTAGTTCTTTAGTTTAATATAACCTCTGTACTCTTGCCATTATTCAAAAGCCCTTGTTGTTCGGATGGCTGTTAGATCACCTTTATTTTTGCAGCTAAGGTTCGAACCCAGGCCCTGCTTCTTTTCAAAAACAACTTTGGGTTTTTTAAAATTTTAATTCTTTTTACTACTCCGTAGTATTCTAAGTCGTGCGACGCACGAGATCGAACGATATTTTTGTCGATTTTAAAATTTTTTCAATGTAATATTATTTTGAAATAAATTCTCACATGATTTTTAATACTATAGTCGAAAATGCCAAAATAGAATATATAATATTTGAAAAATTGAATGTGTACTCAACAAAGATTTTTTAATACCAAATTCAGTGATAGATTTTAGGATAGTTTTTTTGTCATCTAGAATCAATATTTGTTTATCTTTGTCTTTACTATTGAAACAGCAACATAAAGCTGACCATGAATGAAGTTGATTAAAAATAGTCAAACAAATTACAATGTTTGACCTTGACTTTTGTTAATAGTCATTGCAAAATATAAGACAAGAAAAAACTTGTGTATCCCCCTATCTGCACAAGATGACATGGATGAATATAATCTCGTATTCTTCGTCAACGTATAAAGTTTACAATACGACCACAATTTTAAAAAATTGATGGTATAACTTATAATTTCCTCTCTTGAAACTTTGGGTAAAACAAGAAGAATTTGCTAAAAATTAACTTCGAGTATAACTTTTTTCCCTCGAATGGTTCATTTCTCGAGTTTTTATTTGAGAAACTCATTACATTTATCATTGTGCTATCTAATGCCTCAAGAGTAAATCTATTTATCATACATATTTCATCTCAAATGATTAGACTGTTTGTTGGATTAGTTCTGCTTTCAGACTTCTTTGTTTGATGGCACACGTTGAGCACTTGGTTAACACTTGAAGGATTGAGAATCTCGAGTGTGTTGTAACCTCTCTGATATGAACTTCCTAATATTTCATCGTTCCGATAAATTGAATTCTTTATCAATCTTGTTCTTAGAAAAGACCGAGAATCGTAACTCCATATTGAATGTCGTTCCTTGAGATTGAAAACTCAACTATAAGGATTGTTTGACAAGGAATCATATTACCAAGTGTTTTCTCCTTGGGAGAGTGTAACAACTCAATCCGCGTAACCCAAACCAACGAGTTAGTGAATCAGGTTGCTACTAAATTGACATTAGACACAATAATTTTCAAAAAATTTAAAAATATTTAATTCAAAATAATATTTAAATATCCATCAGAGTTAACAAAAACGGTGTGGAAGCTTAATTTAAAATACAACTTTGGGTTCTTGCCCTTTAAACATAATAAATTCAAATGCAATAATTAAATTAGATAACTCCTCCAGCCAGCATCCATCCACCTTTATGTCGTCACTACCTCCATGACAATTTTCTTATTCATCGTTCCTGCCATTTACGTGTAGCAAATAGGAAAAAGAGCTACACGCTCAGCATTGAAACTAAGTGAAAAATATCTAACGCAATCATTAAATAAATTCACAAGTCACAAATAATTACCTGGCCTTATTTCATATTTATTCATAGCTTATAACATAATTAATACTAGTTGTGACCATACTTCCTTATATTGCCTCGAAAACCATGAAGGAATTATAGCCACCAATATTTTGTTTAATTTAGTTATTACAAAATTTTTAAACATGTGTGCATTAATTAGGATACTATATAAAAAAGAAGCATGCGTTAAAAATCTAAAGCAGCGATTTTAGAGTTTAATTACATATGATTTCTAGGAAACTTCTAAAAGTTATTTTTGATTGTGATATATGTATGTTGAATTGCTAAAATAAAACAATAATCATAAAAATATGCACCTTTTTATGTGTTTTTTTGTTGAAGTGTTTCATTTTTCCTTTCTCTTGCATTTCTAGTTGATCTCACCTATCTCTCGTTAAGTTAATTTTTCATGTTTTCAATTGTTATAGAAAAATTGGATGTTCCTACCAACTATACTTTAAAAAAAAGAATATAAAGTTTAAATACTCATTCTATTTTTTTAATCAAAATATTAATCTTCTCTGAACACATGCATTTAAACTTGAGTGATGGTGATAGATGAAATGACACATTCCTTCATTTATATGTGAACATTTTTTAATTGAATTTAAAAGTTATCAATTATTTATATTAATATGTCTCTAAAATTGAGTGATTTAAGCAACACATTCCTTCATTTATATGTGAATCTAAAATGAGTATTAAATTTATAAGATTTAGAATTTAAAAAAGGCAAGTAATATTGCAAATTACTATATTTAATCTTTTATTAAAATTATAAGATCTATCTTTAAAAACTCATATTCTCCAATATGTTCGAATATTCTTCAAAAAAGATCTCTAATTTTTGCTATTTAACCAAAATTATATGGTTATATTTTTTTGTTTCTTTTTTTTTTGTTTTCATTATTTTTGTTTCAATATTCTAATTAAGTTCAAAGGTAATGTTATTTTGGTTTCAAATTTTATGAATAATATTTACATTGGTTTGTATATTTTAAATTTTTTTAACATTATTAGTTAAAGTTAATTATTTATGGGAAAACCTATACAAAAGTATGTAAATGATTAATATATCCATGCTAAAAGTTAATACATTAAGGGGGGGGATTACAAATTAAAAAAATTTGCTTCTTTATTATATAACACATGTCTTATTGTTATCACTTTTCCACCACACTCTAATGCATACTCTTACGTCGCACTTCCATCATACTAATATTTTGGTATTAAATGAATTAAAACTCATATTTTAGTATTTTAATAATGTTTTACTTCTATAGATATTTCTTACAATATAATTCTTAATCTAAAAATCAGAAAGTGTTCTTTACCCCCACATGTATATATGGTCCACTGATTGGAATGTCTAAATAATTTGAATAATATTATTGATCATTTGTCTCGGTTTACATTGCTATCAAATCTTGAATTATGTATTGTGTGATTTAAAAAATAAATTAGATAAATATTAAAATTTCAATGATTCTTCTCCAATACATTAATTCAAACAAAAAATAACACAAATAATATTAGCAATCTTATGATTCTGATTAGAAATTTATAAATAGATTTGGCAAACTCTCATGCAATTCTTTTTTCCTTTATGTTTGAATAAGAAAGTATTCAAGCTCATAAATACATTTTTTTAATTTATTTGATTTAAACAGTTGATCATTTAAAAATATTCTAGACATTTCTTCTTTTATAGAATACTCCGCATTAATTTAGAGTTATTTTTCATTTTATTTTTTATATTAAAATAAATTAAATAATGTAATTCATTTAATCATATTATAAACAGAAATGAAACTTTATTTTAACCACTTACATTATATAATTTACTTAAATCAATTATCTTATCCTAAAAGCTAATAAAAACAATATATTTTTATATTTAAATGATAAAGAATCTAAAAGACTATAAAGTATTCATTTTATTGTAATTAAATAAAATTATAAAATTAAATAAATACTTACAAAATTATGTATAATAATGTTTTTATACTTGAACATTATTATAGCCCAACCATTTCTTATTTAAAAAATGATTAATGTAATTTTTAAAACATGTTATCTGTTTTTTTATTTCATACGGAGTATCAATATTGAAAGAAAATATATTCAAAACTAACTTCATTTTAATAAACAAACAATCATGTGAAATTTATTTAAAGGCGAAGAAAGTAATATATTAAGTTATTGAAAATTTTGTTAGATTTGAACAAAAATACTGAATCATGAAAAAGTATTATTATAAAAATGAATTTAAATATTTCATAATTTAAGATATTTAAAGATTTCATACAAAAATATTTTTTCATATTTTATGTCTTAAGTTATATGTCATTTAGGTGTAAAAAGCCACACAAGTAATGCAGATGTCAACTTTCTAAAGATAAAAATTTAATCACTTTATATAAAGGACTTATTGAATATTTTTATTCTTAATAATTAAATATTGAAGGATTTATTAAAAAATTTGTTTTTAATAATTTTATTTTTGATCAAAAATTAAAGTTTAATCACATGTCAAATAATATTTAATAGAGTCTAGCTCATAAATCAAATGCCACATAATATGCCCCATATTTTGCCACATGTATATCCCATATTGTGTCACATGTCAAATTCTTATGCATCAAATTTTCAAATTTATATATAAAGGACTAGTATTTTTATCCGTGCAACACACTGGTACAAACAATTTTTTTGTTGGTTCTGAAATTTTTTTAATGCAATATTTTTTCTTGAATAAAGAAAATATATTTCCCTATGATTTTTAATACTATAGACAAAAACTTTCAAGTAGAATAAATAATAGAGAGAAAGACCAAACTAGGACTAAAACATTGAGAATATACCAAAATAGGACTTCCATGTTTTTATTCCCGAAATAGGACTTACATTACCAAATATGGTCATATAAATTACCAAAAAAGTATAGTAATTTGCACATGTACACTGCCACATTACCACAATGCAAAGTCACATTACCACAGTGCAAAGTCCTATTCCGGGAAAAAACATAAAAGTCCTATTTTGGTATTTTTCTCTATGTTTTAGTCCTATTTAGGATGATTTCTATAAATAATATTTGAGGAATTAAATGTGTACTCAAGCAAGTTTGTTTTAATACCAAACTTTTTGAAAGATTACAGGGTAAACAATTTTTTTGATATAGTTGTAGAGTATCATTGTCATCTAGAACCAATATTTTTATTTGTATTTTTGTCTTCACTCATGGAATAGTAACATAAAGATGACCATGAGTAAATACCAATTTGATTAAAAATAGTGCAAGAAATGACAATGTTTGACCTTGACTTTTGTTGATAGTCATTGCAAAATATAAGACTATTGGGATTTGTCTTATGAAGAACTTCAAGAGTAGTCCTAGATCAGATGATATCAAATTCATTT